GTTATTTCTTTATCCACCTTGTCACGTAACGCGAACGCAATTGGACGCGCTTTACAGAATATCGGTTTCACATTATCCTTTAATTTTAATTTAACACGATATTTATTAAATTTACCCAACTTATTCGAAAATACTTCCGGGTAACGCGATTGGAATTGCTCCACCATACTCTGCTCACACTTCAGAAAATTACAAGGCGTCAACTTAAGTTTAAATTTTGATATGAAATCCCTGCCTAATAATGGTGGTCCGCCATTTTGAATGACGTAAATGTCCAATGTGTGAGTGTGTTGTCGGTACGTCACCGGCAAGTTTAAGTACCCTATACATTTCATAATGTTTCCGGTGTAGCTAAAAAAACTTTTATTGGAATCTAGCAACGGAATATTACTGAATATGTTTTTATAAGTACCCTCGGATATAACTGATACTGCTGATCCACTATCTATTTGAAATTGTACATTTTTCCCGTAAATTGAAACTGTTTCTGTCATAGGTTCCCCACGGTCTGAGCGTATGTTAAACAATGACTTACCGTCGTCGTCCTCACTTACATCACCTGTCAACACGTAATTAACCTTATTACACATTTTACGTAAATGACCCTTGGTGTTACACTTTTTGCATTTATAGCTTGCAAACCGACATTGGGATGACTCGTGATTGTTACGACCGCACACTGTACACTTTATTTTACCGGCACTAGTGGCTGTAGCACTATTTTGTTTGGCGATCCTGAACACCGGCTGCCCAAGGCCGGCCGTAGTAGTTGCGGCACCAGCGCGCGCGCACCGCGCGCTCTCCGCCAGCTCCACTGCCTTGGCCAGGTTCAGCTTGTCAATGTCCTGCGCGAACAGCTTCTCTCGTTCATGGCCTGCTACCATGCCCATCACAAACCGATCTCGTAACGCTTCCTCGACGTTACTAAATCAACAATGTGCTGTAAGTCCTCGTAGCCTTGACGCCCATTGTGTATATGTCTCGCCCGGCTGCTGCACAGCCGCATAAAAATTGTAACGCTCGCTGAAGCCGCATATTTTTGGAAGAAAGTGCTCATCCAATAACTTCACTATCTCATCATACGGTACTTCCTGGATATCCTTTGGCAGTGCCAGATCCGCTGCCAACTTATAAGTACCGTCGGTTAGTGCGCTGAGCAGGATCGCCCGTCTCTTGGCTCCAGCTGTATCATTCTTCTGGGTGATGTCGTTTGCAATAAACCATTGCGTAATTCGGCCTTTATACGACTTCCATTCTTGTACGTTGTGATCAAATGAAGACAAAATGCCAAAGCTATTCATTTTCCGATTATAAAATTAAGATGTGGGTAGTACTCTCGTCGCCACTGTTATGTTCTTGGTACGGGAGACAAGTGAAACACAACACAGCTATTGACACACTGCCTGTATTCTCTGTTAGACACATATCGTGGGCGCAGCCACGCACACATACATATTACTCACGTACATACACAACAGTAGTCTATCATTTCGTGAAAACACTGAACAAAATGACTGAAATGAATGTGTATTTAACACTATTTGATGACCGTGTCATTATATAGCTTGACCAAATCAATGAATAGAAATCTTTTGAAGTTATTAGTAACTAAACACAACGTTGCTATTTCATAATATGGTCATATGACGATATCATTATCGTTTTTCACCGCTAGCGGCGCTGATAGCTTATTTTTAACAGAAACAGAACTTTTAAGAGAATCGACATCACTTTATCCCTTATTAATATAATAATGATATAATAAATAAATGTTCGTTTCTATTGGTGATATTACTAGATGGTATAGTTTTGGCTTTCATTATTTCATGTAATATTAGCGCCACCTAAATAAATAATACTTCTAAATAAAATGGCAAGACATTGATAAAATGAAATAATACAATGCTACTGAATATACGATGTAAATAATCGAATCATTAACATTACGTTCATCCCGCGTTGGAATCAGTGCAGCGAGCTCTTTTTTTGCCAAAAACTCTACAGCCTGTGCCCAGTAGTAGCATGTATTTAAGCTGCTTTTTTACTTTTCATGGGGCAATATATGCAGTTTCTATTTCATTCGTGTTTTCGGGTATGATAATTTATGTTTTCACTCTACCGTAAATATTAAGGCTTGCAAAGATGAGTAGAACTCATTATCGTCAGCCTATCAATAGTCCACTGAAATGAACATAGGCCTCCCCCATAAATTGTCAAGTAGCTGGATATTTGCTATAGTGGCGGGTTGGCAACCGCAGGTATTATTATTTTGATCTATTGTCAAGAAGGTGATGCAGATCATCCCATCTACTGTTTTTTCCCTATGTCGCCTCTTACGACGGGACGATATGATGTGTTGGATTTTCTTTCACCGCCACAACAGTGCGAACATTTTTCTACTCCCGTTCATGAGTGTAGTGTTCCTCACGTTCACTGTGTATAAAATTTATAAGGAAAAAAGTAATTTTAAGGATTTTATTCGCGTTTAATTTTAACTTCCCGATGGTTTGGGCAATTTATAGCACCCATGGTCAAGGGAGGGGTGGGAGAACTGAGGTGTTTGACGACCTAATGTCATAGTTAAAATGCAGTAGTAGTTTGAATTTAATTTTATTAATCATGGAGTCCTTAGCAGATAGTAGCACTCAGCCATCTTCCCTATTAAAATTAGGATATTTTTAATTTCAATAGCCTCGCGAATCATCATTGGTAGGATTCGGTGTTCTATTGCAAGAATTTGTTGTATATAATGGTTGGGACGATACTAAACATGTTTACATACTTTAGACTTCCCGGAGCTTCGGTGCTTTCATTCGGTGAGGAGTCAAGATGCGTAAAAAACCCGTAACATTAGTTTTAATACATGTGTGGTATTCATTATTATAGAACTGTATTTATGAAATTTTCAAGTCTACTCGAAGTAAATAAAAATATCTATATCTTTTTATGGTGCCAATCAATATTAAATAGGACCAATGATATGAATAAAATGTCTCAAATAAACATTATATTATTTTGTTAAAACTAAATTTACTTTAACTATGAATATATATATATATATATATATATATATATATATATATGTAAAAAGAGTAAAATGTAAGTGTTCGCGCTAAACGCTAATTTCGGGAACGAACGCGAGAGGGCGCGCGGCTCAGTGTCATACCGGTTTGACATTCGGTCGTGCGTAAAACGCCCAAGGGCAGTCAGTCGTCTTTAGGCGGTGCTAACGATTGGCACGCTGTATTCTGTTAGGGAACTCGGAATAATTAGGTGCGGCCCGTAAATATACGGTCTAGGATTTTGTGATGCGCATTCCTGCTGGAGAGCTTCCCGGGACTTATTGGGTCCGACTCAGAATCTGTATAAGTGCATTCGACAATATTAGCTAGTGCGGCCTCAGATATTCTAGAACTAACTGTTGCAACGCGAAACGGTAGCGACCTTTGGTCCAGAGGCTCCGTGTGCGTTTTGTGCGGTAACCTTATACCCCGCGATAGTTAGTGGCTTCTGTAAGTTAGCTAATCGCACGATAGAGTTAATTGACTGTCATCGTGACGAAAGAGGAAAGTGATTGTGGTCCGGCGCCGAAGCAGTCTAAAGCGGTGCAGAATTTTGGAGCAGCCTGGAACTCGGCCGCGGCTGGTCGCTTGTGCTTGACAAGGCCCCAAACATTCACACCTCACTGTACACTACTCGCCATCCACTATTACACACACTCACGGCCTGCCCAAGCCTTAGTGCGAAGTTAGCTTCGGATAATGGTAAGTACTATGTCTTTCTAGCGTCCTCCCATCTGGTTTATTGTAATTAGGAATTTCCACGTGGCCATATTCTGGCCCCGTCCCTCTGCTGCTCGTCGATGGGATTACTCATGGGCCCTAATCCCGTCAGCCTTGGTTGGGGCAGCTAGGGGCGTGTACAGTAAGTAATAACAATACATTTTGATTTCAAGACTATTTACCTTTCTTATGGATACATCGGAATCGGAAGACACCCCATATATAAAAAAAATTGTAGGAGTTTCTAGACATATTATAAGTATATTCACGTGTTTCTGTAGCATGTTACCAATCATCTACGTCTAATAGTATTTTAGAATGAAAAAAAATCTCTGACAGACATAGAGACATAGACACCAAGGTGACTCTAAAAGTGATCGAATATTTCTAAATTTGACACGGAACAGCATTTAATGATGTCCCTAAATTCAAGCGCACGCGAGCGAAGCCGCGGGTAAAAGCTAGTAATATAATATGTTTATCAATAATAATATACTACGAAAGGAACTTCGTTCCAACCGAGTGTTCCGCGACACTGACGCGTATTTTTTTTACCCTAATTGCAATTACATTCATAATGGAACCCGAAGATTTACCAGTGTCACTTCGTTATGATGTGCGTGTACTTAATGTTTATGGTAATCTGCGGTCTATTCATTGTACCTACATAAATAAAATAAAATAAGCTTTTGTTGTATTTAACTTGAGTCACTTGTTTGTTGTTATTGTTGGTCTTTTAAAAAAAGAGTTTAAGTAAAATTAGGGCTGCTTTTTATAATATTTTTTTTTATACAATGTAATGAAAGAAATTTCAAAAAACAGAAATGCCTGCATTTTCCTGTGATTATTCAATGTGTTAATCCAATACGTATAGACATACGTGTGCCGAATTTCAACCAAATTACATTAACCGTTGCGGGAGCAAACATCCAAACATCTCAAACTTTCTTTTATATGAAATTAGTAAACTCGTAGGTTGGTGTAATAAAACCGTATCATTATAAAATACTATGAGGACAATAAAAAATTAAAAATAATAATAACCATCTGGTTTTCGTTTATATTAAATATAGTATATTTCCATAAATGAACCATTATAAGCAGATACATTTTAGATGTTACTTCGAAGTAATCTTAGTATGGGTTAGAAAATGTATTAATGGATGAAAGCATCTTGGCTCACTCTGGAGACGTGCGTTGAGCGAGCGGCGGTTGCAGAGCTGGGAGGCGCTCCCGCCGGAGACGGCCACCTTCACGTCGGACATCACGCCGCTGATCCTGGCCGCGCACAGAGACAGCTACGAGATCATCAAGCTGCTGCTTGACCGCGGCGCATCTCTGCCGGTACCTCACGACGTGCGCTGCGGCTGCGACGAGTGCGTGCGCTCGCGCCGCGAGGACTCTCTTCGGCACTCGCGCTCCCGCATCAACGCGTACCGCGCCCTCGCCTCCCCCTCCCTCATAGCCCTCTCCTCTAAAGACCCCATCCTCACCGCGTTTGAGCTCTCATGGGAGCTGCGCCGACTGTCCGCACTCGAGCACGAGTTCAAGACCGAGTACCAGGAGCTGCGCATGCAGTGCCAAGAGTTCGCTACCGCGTTGCTCGACCACACGCGAACCTCGCACGAGCTTCAAGTTCTGCTCAACCACGAGACGGGCTCCCCGCAGGCTCCTCTCGCCGAGCCCGGCGCACCGGAGAGGATGCGTCTGTCGCGTCTCAAATTGGCCATCAAACTGCGCCAAAAAAAGGTAAGAGATTCGTTCAGCTACTCACTCGAATTTATTTTTTGTAATGAAGTTCTTTATCGGACGGTACGCGTTTGGCGGATGGGAGCTAGGCGACAAAAAGTGTAAAATTTTTTCGTCACTACCCCTTGTGTCATAGGCTGAGATCTATAGACCGTACTTTGACTTTGCTCAGACTTTACTTTCGAGCTAAGACAATATCGGTATTTATAGAGCTAACTTCTAAGTCATGCTAAGCGCGCGCTTATCAAAGCCTAAGTCAACGATATCGACGACTTACGTAAAACTCAGGATCTTAGATTATCGATAGGTCTTCGCGCAGCGCGCGATGACCTATTATTAATCTATGCTTAGGATATTATTCAAAACCACCGTATTAATTTTAAGTTGTTATTTTTATGTTATTCTAATTAATTAAAACTATAAATAGGTATGCCGTGTAGTGGCGGTCAAGAATACCACTACCCCATATCCTCCGGTGGGTGTCGTAAAAGGCGACAAAGGGAAACAGGCAGGAGATGGGCAGCAGCATCTTCCTGATAACAGCCAAAATTATAATAAAAAAACTGCGGTTGCCAACCCGCTCGCCAAGCGTGGCAACTATGGCAAATACCCCCCTATGAATGTAACAAAGAGACGGCCCCCAGTCTCCGGCGGCCCCGCTATTCCTGGCTACGGTGGCGACCATGGTAACGGCGGGGCAGGGGGTGCTAGGAATCTCCGGTGGAGGTTCGGTTGCAACCTTAGACGACTCGACCTGGCAACGTACAACGCACGCACCCTGAGGACTGACGAGAAGATCGTGGAGCTGGAAGAAGAGATAGACAAGTTGCGCTGGCATATTATAGGATTATCCGAAGTCCGAAGAGAGGGGGAGGACACGGTAATCCTCGAATCTGGCAACTTGCTCTATCACCGGGAGGGCGACCATCTGTCCCAAGGAGGTGTCGGATTTATCGTCCACAAGTCTCTCGTTAACAACGTTGTAAAGATCGGGAGTGTGTCGACGAGGGTTGCGTACCTTATACTCAGAATCACCAAACGGTATTCGCTGAAGGTCATACAGGTTTACGCACCAACCTCGGCACACCCCGATGGGGAGGTGGAGGAAATGTATGAGGAGAGCCATGCATTCCTCCAAAACCCAATATACGGTGTTAATGGGAGACTTCAATGCAAAACTAGGCACAAGAGAGAACGGTGAGCTGAAAGTAGGGAAATTTGGAATAGGGCAACGGAACCCAAGGGGCCAGCAGCTGGCCGACTTCATGGAGAAAGAGGGACTCTTTATGATGAACTCTTTCTTCCAGAAGCGGCCCCACAGGAAGTGGACCTGGTCGAGCCCCGACGGTTCGACAAAAAATGAGATTGACTTCATTATGACGACCAGACGACAACTGTTCAGTGATGTCTCCGTGATCGCGAGGGTGAAAACTGGTAGCGATCACCGAATGGTTAGAGGCACACTGAACCTAAACGTTAAGTTGGAGAGGTCTCGTCTAATGAAGTCAACGCTCCGTCCCCCTCGTGCTCTGTTCCAAAGTCCCGAAACCTTTCAGCTCGAGTTACAAAACCGTTTTCAGTGCCTAGAAGACTGCAATGAAGTGGACGATATGAATGACAAGCTCGTGGAAACTGTCCATGCGGTCGGAGCTAAGTTCTGCAAGACCCGCCGCAGAAGAACACAAAAACTCTCCGATCACACTCTTAATCTCATGGCTGTTAGACGGGAGATGAAGCTACATTCTTCAACAGACTTGACAGCATACGGGCATCTGAACAGACAGATCTCCAAATGCATGCGGCGGGACTTACGCAAGTTCAATACAGCTCGTATTGAAGAAGCGATCGAGCGGAACCAAGGCTCCAAAGTCTTTGCCAGAGATCTGTCTGCCAGAAAGAGCCACCTGTCAAAGCTGAAGACAGAATGTGGCAGCATCGTTTCCGGGACACCTGAGATTTTGAGTGAGATTGAGAGGTTCTATGGGCAGCTTTACACGTCATCGTTGGAGCCACACGCAAGTGTGAGTAACGATCCAAGAGCGAGTCTCATCATCTCAAGTCATAAGTGATGACTTATGGAACTGAGACGTGGTCCTTCACTGCTGGCCGTATGAGGAAGCTCAAGGTCGCTCAGCGAGCTATGGAGAGGGCTATGCTCGGAGTTTCTCTGCGTGATAAACTTAGGAATGAGGATATCCGCAGTAGAACCAGAGTAACCGACATAGCCCAACGGATTAGTAAGCTGAAGTGGCAGTGGGCCGGCCATATAGCTCGAAGAACCGACAACCGATGGGGAAGAAAGGTTCTCGAGTGGCAGCCTCGTACCGGTAGGCGAAGTGTAGGGCGTCCCCCCACGAGATGGAGTGACGACCTGGTAAGACATGCAGGAAGTCGATGGATGCAGGTGGCTCAGGACCGTGCTTTGTGGCATTCTTTGGGGGAGGCCTATGTTCAGCAGTGGACTTGTGAAGGGCTGTAATGATGATGATGATGATGATAAATAGGTAGTTTTAGGCCGTCTTCTAGTTTTAAATTGCATTAATCCATTTTCTATTAACGTAATTTCAATCTTATTTCGAATTATTACACTTACACGTGGTAGAGCCATGCTGCAGCTATATTAATATTATAGTTGTAACACGAATGGGTCGGTTCGACCGGGGAAAGACCACGTTCTCACAGAATACCAGCGTAAAATAGCAGCTTAAGTCTGCTGTGTTTCGTATGGTGAGTGTAGAGAACCGGAGACCTGTTTTACTGGAAAAGAGGCATTACACCTTAGTCCCCACGGTTGACAACGCATCTGCATTTTTATTCGCAAACGATGATAGATGTAGATGTCTATGGGCCACAGCAACCACTTACCATCAGGTGGACTGTGTGCTCGTTTGTCACCCTAATTCTATAAAAAAAATTCTTAAAATCTTATTTTTTTTTATTTTTTTTTTTCTGACTTTGCACTCATCTCATCCTTTCCCGTTCTCATAGGACCGTTTTCTATTTCATGTAATAATAAATAATTTATGAAACACAATTTGGACTTTTTTCGATTTTAAATATATTTTTTTTAAATTTCATACAGTAATTTTGATTTTAAATATATATAATTTTTTATTTTATACAGTAAAGTCAAAAACATAATGCGTGGAATGAAACATCCATTAATATTTGGACTGTCTGGGTCTTACAATAAGCTTAGCTTAATCTTAGCCTGATACAACTATAAATTCAAAATCAATGATTATGTTGAGCATATACTCAGCTAAGTTTGTCGTAAGCTAAGTCTGAGCAAAGTCAAAGTACGATCTATAGATCTCAGCCATAGTGTAGACGGCGTTGGAGGTGAAATAAGGAAGTGAGATGGAATAATATCCATCTCCCTCGCACTTTTTCTTGCCATAAAATAAGTATTATTTTATTTCAAATCACGCTTCATTTTAATAGACGCAAGTAATTCATTTATTTGTATTTGTTAATCAATAATATAATACCTACGCTTATCAATAATAATATACTACGCAAGGAACTTCATTCCAACCGAGTGTTCCGCGACATTCACGCATTTTTTATTTATGGAAGAGGGGATAAACGAGTACGCGGCTCAACTGGGGGTAAGTGTCCACCACCGCCCATGAACAACTGCAACACCAAGGGAATTTCGGATACGTTGCCGGCCTTTTAAAGGAGTAAGCTTGTTCCTTGAAGGTCCCGAAATCGTATCGGTCCGGAAAAATCGCCGGCGGTAAACGATTCCACAAAGAAGTCGTGTGAGAAAGAAAACTCCTAGTAAATCGCACAGTAGTAGACCGCCAAGCATCCAGATGATATGGAAGGTAATGTGATTTTCGTCGCGATTTGCGTTCGTAAAATTTGGCGGCTGGAACTAATCCTCACAATTCCTCAGAGCACTCGCCGTGGTAAATGATATTAATGATTATTGAAATAACCGAATGTTTAATTTTGAATTAATGACTGATACAGGAACGTATCATGGAGTTTGTTAACTACTTTAATGTATATACTTTTTAATATTATTATTTAACTATTAAATTTAATGTTAACTTTGCTTAAATACTTAGCGATTATAAGTTATAAAATATGTACTAAATTATGTCGAGCGATTGCTCGCGAGTCGACTTAAGGCGGCTACTGACCTGCCTGCCGCAGGGGCAATCTAGGGAGCACAGCGATCGGAGCAATATCGAAGGCCGCAGGGCCGACTTAAAAAATTGCCCCTGTTTGCCTACACACATCACAATTAAGGAGGCAATTAAGGATCATCCCCACTCCTACACTCTAGATTGCCCCTGCGGCAGGCAGGTCAGTAGCCACCTTTACGTGGCTCCGACAGAATACCAGCGCTGCGGTAACTCTGTCACTGTAGCATTATGTTGAGTCGGTGGCATTGTTGTTACTGCACTCCATTTGAAGTGAAATCTTCTTTAGAATTGTTGTAATTTGTAACTCGATAAAACGAAACAAACATACATATATAGGATTTAGCGTGCGAGAGTATGAGATAGAATACAGTACATATACAGTGTTTCCTATTATCTCCGTGTCCTTTTCTGAAGGTTGTTTTGTAAACTTCTAGCGCGTATGAACCGCACACTTTTTCTTTTTAATAATTTGTTAAGTATTTTTATTTGTTAGTAAAGTGAATGTCTTGTAGAAGAAAGTTGCAACAGTAAATAAATATGTTTTTTTCTTTCTTTCTGTCTCTCTGAAATTACAGTTCGTCGCGCATCCAAATGTGCAGCAACTGCTGGCGTCTATATGGTATGAAAGTGTCCCGGGATTTCGGCGCAAAAACATGCTGCTGCAAGCGGTCGAAATGATGCGTATAGGAGCTATGTTCCCGTTGTACTCCTTGGCGTATATAGCAGCTCCACACTCCACCGCCGGCCGGACTCTCCGCAAGCCCTTCATCAAATTTCTTTGCCATTCAGCCAGCTATTTCATGTTCCTTTGTAAGTTTCAATGCTTTCCGTGAATCACTATTAGAAGAGAATAGATAGAAACTTTATTTGCTTACAAACATATATATATATAAAAGTTAAAGTTACAGTCTACGTACGTCCCACCAGTGGGCCCAGGCTTCCTCTCATTTCTGAAAGGGTTCAATAATGTGGAACTGACATATTCTGCCATAATTGTTGTGCAAATATTAAATACTACTTTGTTAATATTACACTTTTAATTAATTTATCCATTAGTTTATTTTATTAAAATTTTACCGTGTAGTGGCAGTGTAAAAATATCCACTACTTCATATCATCCCGTGTCGTAAGAGGCGACAGGTGGAAACAAATCAGGAGCAGCGTCATCCTAATAACAACATAAATAAAAAACTGCGGTTACCAATCCGCTCGCCAAACGTGGCAACTATGGCAACTCTATGAGACACTATGGAGGAGGCCTATATTCAGTCGTGGACTTTAATAGGCTGTCACGAAATTTTAAAATTATGTTCAAACATTCCTATAAAATTCATATATAATTAAAGACGGCTCTGTGGCGCGGGTTCGAATCCCGCACGGAACAAGTATTTGTACCTATGGCCTGCAAATAATTGTTCCGGGTCTGGATGTTTGTCCTTGTGAAATTCATGTATGTAACCTGCCCCGCGATACAGGAGAAAATGTTAGTGTGGAGGTAACATTTTTTTAAGATAAAAAGATAAAATACACATACAAATTTTCTTAAATACAAAGAAATCTTGAATTCTTACATAATAAATTGTTCATAAAATATTGGTTCAAATGATTACATGATTAATATTAAATATTATATTAAATTCAATAAGCTATTACTATTCTAATAATTACATTCCACTATAAATTATTCATTCATATCGAAGTTTGATATATTTAATCACAACAAAATATACATTAGTATCTCAAGTTAATATGCAAAGATTACCATTTAACTTAATACATTAATTTACATATTAAGAAATAAATAGTCAATATAAATTACTTATTGTTATTGGGTAATAAAATATCTGCATTTATATATATATATATTATATTCTGTCCCCAGTCTTATTAATATTGGCGTCCCAAAGAATTGAAACGACGGCGGCAGGGTTACTTCGGGGCGCGACGAATGAAATTCCACTCTCTCGACGAGGGTCCCTGCCGTCATTAGTAGAATGGCTTATACTGTCTTGGGTCAGCGGTGAGTTACCAAAGTTTATAATTAATTGTAAGTATTTATGATTTATATTATGTTTTTGAAGTGTAAATTTCTTTAGAATCGTTGTGATTGGGAACTCAACTCGATGAAACGAAAAAACTACACTACAAAAGACACTCAAACATCTATAGGATCTAGCCCGCGAGAGAATGAATAGAAGATATTCAGCATTCATCTTATTCTCTCGAAGTTTTGTTTTCTTAACGTTTTACTTCTACCGCGTGAGAACTGCATACATGTTTTATTTTGATTTTATATCAAATAATTTATCAACATTACGTTGAAATATAAACAATATTAAAAATATATATATATAAATTATAATAAAAAAACTAATACTAAAAGCTTAACTTATCATATAGTCCTACTCCCCGCGTTATCGTGACAAGAACGCTGGCTGCGTTTCCCCGCTGAATGGCTAAACTTAGCCTTTGAGCGAGAAAAGAAACAAGAAACAACCCTTTTATCACCAGCAACCGATAGCAGCGACGCGATAACCAGTCGCGGATACATTTCCTGTGAAACTAAACTAACATTAATATTTAAATGCAGGTTTGATCTGGAGTGAAGTGAAACAACTATGGGACATGGGCTTGCGAGAGTACGTGCATGATATGTGGAACGTGATAGACTTTGTGACTAATTCTTTATATGTTGCAACAGTCGCTCTACGAATAGTATCAAATTTTCAGGTAAATTTGCATATCTTTTCAAATCCATTTTTTAAGTGGTAGGAGCCACGCTGCAGCTATATTATCGTGTAACACGAATGGGTCAGCTTGACAGGGGCAGGAGCACGCTCGCACAAAATACCAGCGTAAAATAGCAGCTTAATGCTGCTGTGTTTTGTCGACGGAGGAAGAACCACGCTCTTAGAATAACAGCGTAAAAAGGCAGCATGAAGCTGCAGTGTTTTGTACGGTTAGTGTAGAGAACCGGAGACTCTTTTCAGTGGGTATGAGGCATTCCATCTTTGTCCTCGGTAGTGACATCCATTACATTACTATAAGAGGCCTATTTATATAGGCTTTATAGGCTTATATAGGCTTTTCTATAGTTGCCATGCTTGGCAGGTGGATTGGCAACCGCGGTTTTTTATTAGTTTGAATTCTTCTGTCGCTTCTTACGATACCCACGGGACGATATGGGATAGTGGATATTCTGCTTACACCGCCACTACACGGTTTAGTAGATGTAGATGTCTATGGGCCACAGTATTCACTTACAATCAGGAGCATTGTGTGCTCGTTTGTTACCTTTATTCTAAAAAAATCCATACTTTAAAATCTATCACTAATACCTGTTATCAATTATCTCAGGTTCGCCGGGAAATGGCGATGAATCTTCAATGGAATCAACCGCGTGAGAAATGGGACGCTTGGGATCCGATGCTTCTATCGGAGGGTTTGTTTTCAGCTGCGAATATCTTCAGTAGTTTGAAGCTAGTGTACATTTTTAGCGTCAATCCCCACCTCGGACCTCTGCAAGTGTCCCTTAGTCGTATGGTGCTAGATATTTTAAAGTTTTTCGTGTTGGACATTCTCGTCATCTTCGCGTTTTCTTGTGGTGAGTACTTATTATACGTATTTTACTAGGTAGTCACGCTGCAGTTATATTTTGATTGTAGCACGAATGGGTCGGCTCAACCGGGGTAAGACCACACAGAATACCAGCGTAAAATATCATCTCAATGCTGTTGTGTTTCGTATTGCAAGTGTAGAGAACCATAGACCCTTTATATTGGAAACGAAGCATGCCATCTTAGCTCTCAGAGGTGACAACGCGTTTACACTTTGATTCTCATCGAGATGTAGATTTCTATGGGCCACAGCATCCAATTACCATCATGTGGAATGTGTGCCCGTTTGTTACCCCTATTCTATTTAAAAAAAAACTTCTTATTATGGGCATGCTATGCTTAGGCACGGTCAATAGTGTTATTGTAAATTAATTTTCAGGATTAAACCAGCTGTTATGGTACTATGCTGAGATGGAAAAGAAACGTTGCACAATAGGAACTGTAGCAGCAGCTAATGGTACAATAGTGGATCCAGATGCTTGCGTTGTATGGAGACGATTTGCTAAGTAAGTTCAATCCGTTTTTTGGTGTGGCAAAAGTGTGAGAGTACTAATAAACTAATGCGGTAATGCTCATTAAGAAGGCTGTCAGATATGACTGGTGATTGATAGGGTGAGAAATTATGTGTTAAGAAGGTGAAGAAAAATGTAGTTTGTAAGATAATTGTGATGAGGTTTAAGAAAGGAATGCCTCGGTGGTTTGGACACGTAGAGAAAATAATCGAAAAAAGAATCAGAAAGCAATTTTATGCTGCAGAAGCGTGAGTGACAGAGTTGACAAGAGATTGCCTTGAGGGAAGGGAACTCCTCTCATCCGAACGGATATCAGGTTTCCGTCGATGCCCCTCTCGGCTCTTCGGACCATTGTTTGATCCGGAGTGCGGTGCCACTCACGCTCCTCTCGCGGTTGCATTCTGCAGGTTGCCGCCATGTTTGGCATTACATAGAATAGATAGGAATAGAATGATTTTTATTCAATATGGATTATTACATAATACTTATTGAAAGTCATTATTTTATTTACCACTGGTTCGGAAAATACCTCTGTCCTGGGAAGAAACAGCAAGAAACCCAGCGGGATTTTTTTTAAACATAATTTCACTTAACAATAATTATGCTTATACAATTTTAAATAATTTTCATAGAACCAGCATGGTAGCGATTACCTTATTCCCAGGGGTTATTTTCATTCATGTATTCCTTGATATTATAATAATCCTTTTTGTACAGTTTTTCTTTAATAAAACTTTTAAGCTTGTTTATTGACAAACTTTGAACATGTTCTGAGATTTTGTTGTAAAAGCGTATACATTGACCCATAAATGAATTACTAATTCTGACTTTAACTGTAACTGACATTACAAGCTTATGTTTGTTCCTAGTGTTTAAGGTATGAACATCCTTATTCTTATTAAAGCTATTTATGTTTTTATGTACATACATTACATTTTCATAAATATATTGCGATGCCAAAGTTAATAATTATGTTTATTTCTTTAAATTTTTCTCTAAGGGACTCTTTACAATTTAGATTATAAATCGCCCGTACGGCTCTCTTTTGCAAAACAAATATAGCTTCAATATCAGTCGCATTACCCCATAGCAAAATTCCATAAGACATCACGCTATGAAAGTAACTAAAATACACTAACCTAGCTGTCTCAACATCTGTGAGACTTCTAATCTTTCTTACAGCATATGCTGCAGAACTAAGTCTGCTTGCTAATTTAGATATATGGGGTCCCCATTGAAGTTTCGCGCCAATAGTAATACCGAGAAAAACAGTGGTATCCACAATACTCAACTCCTCCCCATTTAACAGCACATTGGTTTTCGAATGTTTTACATTAGGTATTGTAAATTTAATACATTTTGTCTTATTGCCGTACAGGTCGGCGGATTGGGACGGAATGCGGTCTTTCTTTGCATCCTACCCATGGAGGCGGGTTTGCTTCTCGCCGGATGGTCCCAGCTCTGTTGCTGACTCTATCACTGATGTGGTGCAACAGGGAATGGAACTATTTATTCCATCTTCTGTGGTGCCCATCGGAGGCAGATCTCAGCCTTAGTTTGGTCGCTCCTGTAAGACTGCATTACGCAGTAAGCAGCCGCAGCCCAGCCTTGATAACCCATCAAGCCTGGGCTGCGGCTTCTGCGACTCGGGATGTAAACACCAGCACACTTAAAAAGAAGTATAACTTCGCCTCCAGGTCCTTTAAAAAAGTTATTGCCATGGCAAAGTCAGAGCACATAGGCAGATTAGTCGAGAAACTAGTTCGCCTTCCTTCGGGAACCCGTGCATTCTATCCTCTCGCCAAGGCTGTCCAAGGGAATTTCTGTAAGCCAACACTACCATCTCTGCACAGGGAGGACGGCTCACTGGCCCAAGCCGCAAAAGACTAAGCCGACCATTTAGGCTCCCTTTTTGCGTCCAACTCGACTCTTGATGACGGAGGGAAAACACCGCCGACTATCCCGCGGTGTGAGTGCTCCATGCCGGATGTGCTGTTCTCACAGCGCTCGGTTCGCAAAGCACTCCTCTCCCTGGACATCCAGAAGTCGAGTGGGCCTGACGGAATCCCCCCAATTGTACTGAGGACGTGTGCTCCAGAGTTGGCACCGGTTCTAACGTGTCTTTTCCGGTACTCCTACTCCCAATGCGTAGTCCCAAATTCATGTAAGACAGCTTTTGTCCACCCGATCCCTAAAAAAGGCGACCGCTCAGACCCGTCCAACTATAGGCCTATCGCGATCACCTCCTTCTTCTCCAAAATAATGGAATCAATTATTAACTGCCAGCTCATGCGGTACCTTGAGGATCACCAGCTGATTAGTGACCGCCAATACGGTTTTCATCGTGGTCGATCAGCTGGTGATCTTCTGGTCTACCAGACCCATAGATGGGCGGAGGCAGTAGAGTCCAAGGGGCAGGCGTTGGCCGTTAGTTTGGACATTGCGAAGGCCTTCGATCGGGTTTGGCACAAAGCGCTTCTTTCGAAGCTCCCTTGCTATGGCTTCCCGAGAAATTGTGCGATTGGATCATCAGCTTCCTTGGAGATCGGAGCATCAAGGTCGTTGTAGACGGTGCATGCTCCGACTACAAGCCTATTAACGCTGGTGTTCCACAAGGCTGTGTGCTATCACCAACGCTGTTTCTTCTGCATATCAATGATATGTTGCTAACTGGTAACATTCATTGCTATGCGGATGAGAGCACTGGTGATGCTCTATACACCGGCCGTGCCAACATTTCTCGGGAAAACGTCGCCGAGTACCGGAACAAACTTGTGTCTGAAGTCGAGTCTTTGCTAAACAAAGTCTCGGATTGGGGGCGACTAAATCTATTCCAGTTTAATCCACAGAAGACACAAGTTTGCGCGTTTACCGCTAAAAAGACCCTTTGTCGTATCTCCTCAGTTTCAAGACACTCCCCGTCTTGCCTCAACAAATTGGCCTCAAATAGCTTGGCGTGCTCAGCAGAGCGGGACAGTATTTCATGCCGGCACACCGCCTGCAACTTTACAAGTCACAGATTCGGCCTCACATGGAATACTGTTCCCATCTCTGTGCAGGGGCTCCCCAGTGCCAGCTCCTTCCACTTGACCGCATTCAGCGCAGAGCGGCTCGAATCGTCGACGGCACCGAGTCCTTTCCGATCGGCTCGATTCATTGGCACTGCGAAGAGATGTTGCATCCCTTTGCATTTTCTTTCGCATCTACCACGGGGAGTGCTCTGAGGAATTGTTTGGATTGATCCCAGCCGCCAAATTTCACGAACTCACATCGCGGCAGAACTCCCGATACCATCCACACCATCTGGATGATTGGCGGTCCACCACTGTGCGATTTAGAAGATGTTTTCTTCCTCGAACGACTTCTTTGTGGAATCGATTACCATCAGCGATTTTCCGGACCGATACGACTTAGGGACTACTTATACTTATACTACTTACCTTCCTATTCCTTTTTAAAAGGCCGACAACGCATCTGCAAGTCCCGACCTGGTTTTGCGGTTGTTCATGGGCGGCTGTAGTCACTAACCATCAGGTGAGCCGCATGCTCGTTTGCCCCCTCTCCTATAAAAAAAGTTTATCATCCGAATTGGTGATTTATTGAAGATTAGCCAAATTAAGAGTACCCTTAACCTGACACGAAATTACCTAGAGATGTGTCAGAATCGTGCCAAATGGAAGTCCGTAGTCTCTGCCTATCCCTTTGAGTGACGGGTGTGAGAGTTTATGTTTATGTTATGTACCTTTGTGTGTGACACTTTTCAGAGCATTGTCGTTATTCAGTTTTCATTTCATAGGTTTATCAAAAGTCTTCTGCAGCCACCTTCATAGATTGCCTCATGGAGGAAATATTTGCCATAGTTGACAACCTCTGCAAGCGGGTTGCAAGTTTGCAACCCCAGTTATTTATTATTTTGAGTTGTTATTAGGAAGATGATGCTTCCGATCTCCTATTTTTTTCATCTGTTGCCTCACGACATCCACGGGATAATATGAGGTAGTGGTTTCACTTACGCTGCAGCTACACGGCTATCGTAATTTGTTATATCATAAATATACCATTACAGCCTATTAAAGTCCACTGCTGAACATAGGCCTTCCCCATAGATTGCTTCAATGGGGGGATATTTGCCATAATCGCGACGCTTAGCAAGCGGGTTTGCAACAGCGGCTTTTTATATTTAGTCGTTATTAGGAAGACACTGCCCACCTCCTGATTTGTTTTCCTCTCTCGCCTCTTACGAAACCCACGGGATGTAGTAGTAGTAGTGGATATTCTTACACAATAGTTTCATAAATATATCAATAGAAAATTATCTGCTTGTATTTTCAGTCTGTTCGAAACAATGCAAACCCTGTTCTGGGCGGTGTTCGGGCTAGTGGATTTGGATTCGTTTGAACTAGACGGCATCAAAATCTTCACACGCTTCTGGGGCATGCTGATGTTTGGAACTTACGCTGTTATCCAAATAATAGTGCTTCTTAACTTGCTGATTGCTATGATGAATCATTCTTATCAACTGATATCCGTAAGTGTTTGAAATAATACTTTTAAATAATGATAGACAGATTTAAGAACAAGCAAAATATTTCTATATTTTAACTTTATTATGAATTTATCAAAAAATCAATATCAACGAGAGCTAATATTAGCATATAATGACCAGAAATTATGTACAAATATAACAATTTCGTAATTAAAACGGGTTGATTTATCTCTATTAGTATACGCGGTACATCCACGCTGCAACTACATTATAAGCAAATAGTAAAATAGCAACTTAATGCTGCTGTGTTTCGTATGGTAAGTGTAGAGAAACGGAGTCTCTTTTCATTGAATACGAGGCATTCTGTGTTAATACTTAGGAGTGAAAACGCATCATCATTTCGATACTTAATTGAGGATAGATGTCTGGGCCACTGTACCCACTTACCATCAGGCGGACTGTGTGCTCTTTTGTCACCCATATTCTATAAAAAAAAATATGCAAAGAAACATAAATACTCGAAACACGTTTCCTTACTATATTAGGACATATATGTATAATTTCATGTTACGTACATTATTTAACACTACTGTTCGAAATATACTATATTTCTTTCAAAATTTGTTGGGAGCACTAAGCTCGAAGTTGTTGACGAGTATGTTTACCTGGGACAAATAGTCCGACTACGTAATTTCAACTTCGACCGAGAGGTCAGTCGACGGATTCAACTCGGCTGGGCAGCGTTCAGGAAATTACGACACATCTTCTCGTCGGATATATTTCAAAACCTGAAAACGAGATTGTACAACCAGTGCGTATTGCCGGTGATGACTTATGGTATCTGAGACGTGGTCCTTCACTGCTGGCGTATGAGGACGCTCAAGGTCGCTCAACGAACTATGGAGAGGGCTATACTCGGGGTTTCTTTGCTTGATAAACTTAGAAATGAGTGTATCCACAGTAGAACCAGAGTGACCGACATAGCCCAACGGATTAGTAAGCTAAATTGCCGGCTATATAGCTCGAAGAACCGATAACCGATGGAGAAAAAAGGTTCTCGAGTGCCAGCCTAGTACTGGTAGGTGAAGTGTAGGACGACCCCCCACTAGATGGCGTGGCAACCTGGTAAGACATGCAGAAAGTCGATGGATGCGGGTGACTTAGGACCGTGCTTTGTGGGATTCCTTGGGGGAGGCCTGTGTTCAGCAGTGGACTTGAAGGATTGTAATAATGATGATAATGATGATGATGAATAGCTTATACTAAATATTTAATTCAATGCGAGCGTTTTTGTTCCTTTTGTGAAATTCTTTACCCTTCATTTGGGCATCCAATAGATTATCATACAGGGCCCGTCTAAGGCACGCTGCGCCACTGGTGACTCATACATATTATATTATATACATTTCGATTGTTTAACTATTGTGTCTTTTTCGTGGACAAGGGAACTGTTAAAATTTCAAATAACAATTTCATTTGCGCCGACTTGGATCGAACTTGGTTTGCTTGTAGTACTATAAAATTTTTTAGTGCAACTTTCCACTGAACTACACGGCTCTGAAACAAAATAAAGGTTTCGTCATCATCATCGCCCTCCATCAAAAGTTCACTATCCCCCAAGGAATGCCACAAATCACGGTCTCGAGCCATCTGCATCCATCGACTTCTCGCTTCTTTTACCAGGTTATCGGTTCATCTAGTGGGGGGCCGCTTTACATTTCGCTTACTAGTACGAGGTTAACATTTGAAAACCTTTCTTTCCTGTCAGTTGTCAGTTGTCGGTTCTTCGAGCTATATGGCCGGCTATTGAGACTTCGGCTTACTGCTCCGTTGTCTTATGTCAGTTTCTACGGTTCTGCTGTGGATATCCTCATTTTGAAAAAATGCTATACCCTCTACTAACCTCTCTTAAATAAAGGTTTCTTTATTTAAAAATTATTACTATTATAATCTTGTGTTTTATTTTCTATAGGAGCGTGCTGACGTTGAATGGAAGTTTGCGCGAAGCAAATTGTGGATCAGCTATTTCGAGGAAGGAGGAACGGTACCGCCACCCTTCAACGTCATCCCGTCTCCGAAGTCCGCACTTTACACTTGGAACTGGCTTCAACGACGCCTCTGCGGACATGCGCGAGCTAAGCGTGAACATATGCGTACCATTCGGGTTAGTGATTGCTCGGTATATCGGATGTTACCTACATATTTTATACTTGGTAGAGCCCCGCTGCAGCTATATTATGGTTATAGCACGAATAAATCGGCTTCACTGGGGAAGCATCACGCTCTTACAGAATACCAGCGTGAAATAGGAGCTTTATTGCTGTTGTTTTTCGTATGGTGAGTGTAGAGATAGAGTCCTCAGCGATGACAGTCGTTCTGCATTTTGATACTTAATCGTTGATAGATATACATATATGTCAACAGGTCAGACTATCCATTTATATGTGCTTGTTTGTTATCCTTATTAAAAAAAAACATACAACTGTGTAACAATATTTTTTTTTATTTTTCCAGAGAAAAGCAAAGCAGGCCAATGAGAGGGACTTCCGGTATCAGGTACGTTTTGTATCATCATCATCATTATCATTACAGCCTTTCATAAGTCCACTGCTGAACATAGGCCTCCCCCAAGGAATGCCACAGAGCACAGTTATGAGCCACCTGCATCCATCGATTTCCGCATGTCTTACCAGGTCGTCACTCCATCTGGGGGGGACTTTCAATAAGAATTATGTAATAATCAATATTGAATAAAAATTATTCTATTCTATTCTATTCTATTGATGTTAATACCGCATCCTTTCCAGTCCAGTAGCTTGAAAACGTCTTCCAATGCAGCGGTGAAGAGTTTCGGAGATATAACGTCACCCTGTCTTACACCTCTGTGCATTTGGATAGGTTTCGTAATCCGATTCTATACTCGGATAGCCATCGTAGCTCTACCGTACAAACACTTCAGCACTTCGATATACCGACAGTCAACTTGGCACCGCTGATCGGACTGCAGCACCGCCCAAATTTCGACGGAATCAAAGGCTTTCTCATAGTCCACATACGCAAGGCAAAGTGGCAGATTATACTCCTCTGTCTTCTGTACAATCTGCCGCAGGGTATGTATGTGGTCTATGGTACTAAAGCCTTTTCGGAAACCGGCTTGTTCGGGAGTCTGAAAATCATCAAGTCTGCGTGCGAGACGATTCGTAATGACTCTCGAAATCAGCACGTAGACGCGGCTCAGAAGGGAAATCGGTCTGTAGTTCGTCAAGAGAGCATTGTCGCCTTTCTTGAAGAACAAGACCACCGCACTTTTGCTCTACGCCTCCGGAGTAGTGCCACCATGGAGAACGGAATTAAAGAGCTTCTGAAGGACTTCAAGTACCGGTTTTCCACCCGCTTTCTAAAGCTCCGCTGTAATTCTATCCTCGCCCGGGGGCTTGCCGTTTTTAAGGTGCTGGAGAGCCATTCTAATCTCGCTCAGACTGACGTCCGGAATATCTTCGGAATAGTGCCGGATAAGACTCATTCTTGGATCGTTACTCACACTTGCGTGTGGCTCCAACGATGACGTGCACAGCTGCCCATAGAACCTCTCAAGCTCACTCACAATCTCAGGTGTCCCGGAAACGATGCTGCCACACTCGGTCTTCAGCTTCGACATTTGGCTCTTTCTGGCAGACAGATCTCTGGCAAAGACTTTGGAGCCGTGGTTCCGCTCGATCGCTTCTTCAATACAAGCTGTATTGCAGTTGCGTAAGTCCCGCCGCATGCATTTGGAGATCTGTCTGTTCAGTTGCCTGTATGCTGTCAAATCTGATGAAGAATGTAGCTTCATCACCCGTCTAACAGCCATGAGATTAAGAGTGTGATCGGAGAGTTTTTGTGTTCTTCTGCGGCGAGTCTTGCAGAAATTAGCTCCGACCGCATGGACAGTTTCCACGAGCTTGTCATTCATATCGTCCACTTCGTTGCAGTCTTCTAGGCACTGAAAACGGTTTTGTAACTCGAGCTGAAAGGTTTCGGGACTTTGGAACAGAGCACGAGGGGGTCGGAACGTTGACTTCATTAGACGAGACCTCTCCAACTTAACGTTTAGGTTCAGTGTGCCTCTAACCATTCGGTGATCGCTACCAGTTTTCACCCTCGCGATCACGGAGAACACTGAACAGTTGTCGTCTGGTCGTCATAATGTAGTCAATCTCATTGTTTGTCGAACCGTTGGGGCTCGACCAGGTCCATTTTCTGTTGGGCCGCTTCTGGAAGAAAGAGTTCATCATAAAGAGTCCCTCTTTCTCCATGAAGTCGGCCAACTGCTGGCCCCTCGGGTTCCGTTGCCCTATTCCGAAATTCCCTACTTTCGGCTCACCGTTCTGTCTTGTGCCTAGTTTTGCATTGAAGTCTCCCATTAACACCGTATAGTGGGTTTTAGAGGAATGCATGGCTCTAGAGATATCCTCATACATTTCCTCCACCTCCTCATCGGGATGTGCTCATGAGGTTGGTGCATAAAGCTGTATGACCTTTAGCGAATACCGTTTGGTAATTCTGAGTCGACACACTCCCAACCTTTACAACGTTGTTAACGAGAGACTTGTGGACGATAAATCCGACACCTCCTTGGGACAGATGGTTGCCCTCCCGGTGATAGAGCAAGTTGCCGGATTCGAGGATCACCGTGTCCTCCCCCTCTCTTCGGACCTCGGATAATCCTATAATATGCCAGCGTAACTTGTCTATCTCTTCTTCCAGCTCCACGATCTTCTCGTCAGTCCTCAGGATGCGTGCGTTGTATGTTGCCAGGTCGAGTCGTCTTAGGTGGCAACCGAACCTCCACCGGAGATTCTTAGCACCCCCTGCCCCGCCGTTACCATGGTCGCCACCGTAGCCAACGTGAAAATGGATTATTTTTACGTGCTGCAGTTATATTATTATTGTTGTTGCACGAATGGGTCAGCCAACTCGATCGGGGAAGTACCACGCTCTCACAGAATACCAGCGTAAAATAGCAGCTCAATGCTGCTGTGTTTCGTATGATGAGTGTTGAGAACCGGACATCCTTTTTAATAGAAACGAGGCATTCCATCTTCATCCTCAAATGTAAACACGAATTCTTAATCTAGGATAGATGTAGATGTCTATTGTCTCAGCGTCCACTTACCATCAGATGGACTGTGTTCTCATTTGCCACCCTTATTCTATAAAACATGTATAGGTATTATGGTTGTAGCATATCATTATAGCTTACGATACATACTTTTTGAATTTTTTCAAACTCTAAACCTTTTTATTAACATACAACGGGTGATGCAGGCTATAATGCGGAACTTGGTGCGGCGGTACGTGACGGTGCAGCAGCGGCGCGCGGAGTGCGGCGGCGTCACGGAGGACGACGTGAACGAGATCAAGCAGGATGTCAGTGCTTTTCGCTGCGAGCTGGTAGAGATCCTGCGCAACTCCGGCATGAACACATCCACTGCTAACGCTGGGGCTCCGGGTACGGGCTTTAGTAATCCAATTAATTTTGAAGTGACAACTTCTTTAGAATCGTTGATTTACCACTCGATGAAACGAAAAAGTAACACTAAAAAGGGACAAATGTACATCAATAGGATTTAGCCTCCGAGAGAATGAGAATGAGATAGAATGCAATATACAGTGTCTCTTCTTATCTCGGTCTTCTTTTCTGAAGGTTTCACTGCTACCGCGTGTGAACTGCACACATGATTTTTTTTTTGAAATGACAATGTTTTAATTAAAGATGTTAAAATTAATTAGTCAAGATCCGCGTAAAAATGAGAATGATGCGTCTTACCCAGTCTAAGAGCACTTCAAGCCCTCCCTGAATGACGGCATCCACGACTTATTTGCCACCAGGGCGGCGCCACAGGGATGTGGTGAAATGTTTTACAGATTTCCTAACGGGAGAAGTTAATTTGTTAGAAAAGTGTAGAGATTTGTGTTTCACTTATATTTTATATGAATTAGATCAAAAATTGTTAAACCAACCAACGGACATTCCTAAAAGCAGAAGAATTAAAATAGTTAAAAATGTGTTAAAAATTAAGTTTCGTGTATATACGAGTACATAATCTAGAAACCGAAAAACGTTTAATGGTGATAACACTGTGACTATCAGCGTAACAAATAGATTCACCTTAGTCTTAACTAGCTACATTTGGTTAGCGTATTAGCCCACATTGCGTGCACTATCCCCGTCACCATTAATCCTAACACCACTAGGTTTAACAGTGGTAGAGCCACGCGGCAGAATTGCTTCGCACGGATGGGCCGGCTCGAACCGGGGTGGTACCACGACCTCACAGAATACCAGCGTGAAGTAGAGGTTTACCTCTGCGTTTCGTTTGGTGAGTGCAGGTGGCCAGAGGCCCTTTTTACTGGAAATGAGGCATTCCATCTTAGTCCTCACGGGTGACAACGCATCTGCATTTTGATTCGCAAACGAGGATAGGTGTAGATGTCTATGGGCCGCAGCAACCACTTACCATCGGGTGGACTGTGTGCTCGTTTGTCACCCTTATCCTATAAAAAAAAACAATAAGAAAGACACGTTACTGTCGATAATATGACACGTGTTTCGCCTTTAAGCGATACATATTTCTCTCCCTAGTGTAGCTAATTAATTTTGACATGTTGGTTAATTCATTTTCATCATCTTTAATATAATGGATTTCCGCAAAGTAACACCTGATTCTAACAATGCTTTATAGTTTTAAATAAAACTAGTTTTTACGGATTCAATCGCGTATAGAATTAATTCGTAATTTTAGTTTATTTCCGTAGTTTTATTTAAGTGTGTAGTGTTCGCATAAATATAAGAAATAATTATGCTTTATATTATTACTTGATGATATGGATGTTGTACTTTTATATACCTTATATATTTATTTATAAGGTAAGGTAAATAAAACCACAGAATAAATAATAGTTTAAAGAAATAAAAGTAAAATGTTACGAAATCGGCACTGCACAGCATGCAGGCATGCACCACCGGGACTAATTTTGCAAAACAAAATGATATCATGTATTAAACAAGGCTGTTGCTAATCGAAAATCAGATGAATAAAAAATATATGTTCATCTGATATTTTTTTAAATAAAGACCCATAAATTCTATTAATAATATTTATCATCCCACTAATATTATAAATGTGAGAGTTTGTGAAGATGTATGGAAGTTTGTTACTCTTTCACGCAAAACCTCCTGAATGGATTTTAATGAAACTTCACAATAATATAGCTCATACATCAGAATAATACATAAGCTATAGTTCATAAAGATTTGTGTAAATTGGCCAAAATATAACGATAAGTGTTAAGTAAGTCTGAAAATATCTATCATCTGCGAGCTATTTTGGCGTGAACACGCATTTTTCACAGTGGTAGAGTCACGCGGCAGCTTTTGCTGTCGCACGGTTGGGCCGGCTCGAACCGGGGTGGTACCACGACCTCACAGAAAACCAGCGTGAAGTAGAGGTTTACCTCTGCGTTTCGCTTGGTGAGTACAGGTGACCGGAGGCCCTTTTTACTGGAAATGAGGCATTCAATCTTGGTCCTCACGGGTGACATTGCATCTACATTTTAATTTGTGGATTTGTGTTGAATGTATATCTATAACCACTTACCATCAAGTGGACTGTGTGCTCGTTTGTCACCCTTATCCTATAAAAAAAAATTCACGCAAAAACCTGTGAACCGATTTCGTCGTGACTTTCACCGGTAGATAGCTGATGTTATAAGGAGTAACTTAGGCTACTTTAATTGTAGGGTTCCGCACAAAAAAATCCACGCGGGAGAACTCGCGGGGAACTGCTAGTACTTAATTGTTGGAAGTAATTGGAAGTAAAGACTTCAGAAATTAACTGACTCGAACTTTAGGCCTAATCAGTTTGAATAGCCTATCATGTAGAGGATGTCATGGGGCTCTTAGAGGGACAAAATGGCCAAAAACCAAAAAATTTAAAATTTTTATTTCGGCTGTAACTCCGGCTCCTTCGGAGATTCTTCTTACACAGCCTTTATTTCCCACATCCCACTTGTTAACATAAAGAATTATCTGTAATATGGAAGCCTTGTTATTCCATATAAAATTTGAAACCTCGTTTTTAAAGATTAGTAAAGTTTTGACAACAGGAAAAAGGACTTTGATGGTATTTAATACTCAAAGTAGGAGTAATATGTTAAATTAGCTTATAAAATTATGCTAATCCGCGACTCGTCCGATGTCTCTTGGGTCATCCCAACCGCTCCTTAAACTTCATATTTTTGTATTAATAAAATTAATTTATTTGTTCGATTCTCGAGTGAATACACACTTCAATTTAAAAATGGGATATTCGTACATTATTTCACATTTTATAAATTTCTTTGAGCTTAGGGTTAAGTAATATTTTTACTTTTTTTAAATAATATTGGCTAGCGTGACCTCGTCTAGTCAACAGTAAAACGCAGCCTAATGTATCGTACTAATTTAGGTACTGTATTCTGTAAGACTAGGTCTTTCTCGTTTCTGGACATGTACGCGGCCATTTTAATTTCTTATACCGCATTTATACATGCGTGCTGTTTGTGACCGTTTACACATTCGCATCTGTTCATTTCTACTTCAGGTTGACGAAATGGACGACGTCGTCATTCTAGCGGTTTTTGCATTACATTTGCCAAAGTTAGTATAATTATTTAGACCACTGCGTCCTGTCCTGCACCGGATTTTATTGGTGCTAGCATCTTGCGTCTATGTGTACGAAAAGTTGAACCATCAAAGAATTTTTCTTTAATTTTAAATCGTTCACTGGTACTCCCATTACTTCTGATATGCTAGTCCAAGTATTTTATAATTTTTTCTGCTTATTCTTATGAGCATGCTTTGGATTCCAAATGACTGGCTGACTTTGGTAAAGCTCCAAAAACATCATAACTTTATTGTGGACCAACAATCATTGTGGTCCATTTTATTTATATAGGCTTCGACTCACCGCTCGTCTCGTAACTCGCGCAAATGTGTGATGCGTACAATTAAATCTGTTTGCGCTGTTTTCTTTCAACGTAAATCAAGCTCGTGTAAATCAGAACTTTAAATATCGACTCACAATTTTGTTGTTTCTGGTAGAGTTTGATGAGCTACTGCGGTTCTCATTCTTTACTTACAAATAAATGTATTTTATCGCGATTGATTCATTTACTTTATGCATTCTCATTGTTACGAGTGCTTTGCAGCACATATGATAACGAGGCAACTGAGGTTAATTCCGACTATCTTAAAAATTTATAATTATTAATTTATCGTCCGATCTACCCAGAATGAGTTTATAGTATCTTGAAGTTTTGCGTTGGTAGCTCGGGTAAGGATTTAATTATTTTTCTTTGATATTTTAATGAACTGTACTGCAGTACTTTTGCCAGTGTAAAGTACCTATTATGAAATTATCCTTTATAAAATTTTGTTTAAAAACTTCTTCACAATATGTTGATACGTCACATTGCGAAGTTTTTAGGAGATGACAGCAGCTTAAGCCAGCAGACAGTCGATAACGATAGTACGAGTATATCAAGGTGCCTAAGCAGACACATTATCTTGAGGTTCACATCATCATCGGAACACTTGTCTCATTGTTTCCACTAATAGCTCACATGCGCAGACATTTAACATAAAATCACATACGTTTTAAAATCCGCTTCAAACCAAAAATTCAAACAATAAAACAAAAGAAGTAATTCACCGGCGTTCAATATCCCGCCAAAAATCACTTAATTTTATTGCTCGTAACTAGATGTGACATATATTGCGATCTTCTAAATCGGATCAATGGCAATGGTATTACGTGGATGGAGTCTTAAGTAGATTTTATTACCCAACTAGTTTCTCTGTTGAAATTAGGATATTTTTACTTGATTGCCCCAGAATGAGGGTAATGTTTTTCGAGTGTATTTATGTATGTGTGTCTATTTCTTTGGCACGCTCTGTATCCTAAAGAGCTTGAGGTATTTTAATATATAGTGTCGTTAAATTCGTCTTAGTTGTGACGGTTTGTAGTTTGTAGTTGATACGGTATAAACATTTTCCCTTTTCAATAGACTTTTCTACGCAGTTGATTTTTTTATTGTTTTAACCATTGGGATTATTAATTTAAATTTTTGTTTTTAAACGCGTTAAAATACACAAATAATTAGTTTCATTCAATGTATAGTATTCGCGTAAGCATATTAATAAATATTTTTGCAAAGGACGTCGGTTGATACTTGCAGGTGGCGGTGGCGGCAAAAAGAACCGCCAAAAGGAGCGCCGTCTGATGAAGGGCTTCAACATCGCGCCAGGGGGTTCTCTTGCGCCGGTGGACGAGTTCTTGGCGTCACTGCATCACGAGCACGACGCTCACGGACCACACGGTCCCCACGGACCCCACAGTGCTCACCACGCGTCATTGTCGGCACTGCTGGGGGGCAGACTTCGCGCCAGTCAGTCAAGTCTGTCTGATGGTGGGACGAATGCTCGCCGAAAGTCTCCTCACAAACGCCGCTGGGGCACCATCATCGAGGCCGCGAGAGCCGCAAGGGTCTCACGGCTCATTGGTCGCTCGCGTTCCGAGGACTCCGTCTGCGATCATGCGAGACCCTCGCCCAGGTTAGCAGTAACAAATTTATTGGTGGGATGACCTCTGCCTAGAATTTCGTCTAGGTTGGCACCACCGTCTTTAAGATTTTTTTAAATATTAGCAATCCTATTAATATTAGTAATATTTTCTTTAACCACTCCCGGTAAGCTTAAAATGCATGTGTTACGAGTGGTTCACGACAGTAGTTGAATGGCGGATTAGAACCAACAACGTTTTCAGCTCGCGGTCTGCGCCCAGTCGTTAGCCTGCTATCGCCTCAAAACTGACTAATTAAGATTAAGATCGTTTATTTGCATGAATAAGGTACAGAAACATCACACATATTAAATCTCTACCAATGAATTCGCTGTGCAAATTTTACATTTTTTACTTCTTATTAAAGCATGAGCAATGAATTCGCTGTGCAAATTTTACATTTTTTACTTCTTATTAAAGCATGCATACAATATACATATAAAGGAGAGCATACATTTTAAATTAATCTATACATTAATCATTACTTTTACGGACACATAAATGACAAAGCTCACAGTTTATAATCTACGAACTCAAGTAAACTTTAAAAGCATTTATGAGAAATGATAGTATTTTAATAGAAAAAGTTATTCTATAACACAATTTCATGCACATGATATAAATGTTGAAAGAAGTAACTGTGAGTTTTGTCTTGGATCGATATAATCTTAACATGAATCTTGCCTATTTCAACCACTAAACAGAAGATTTAATTACAGATTGTGATGCATGAGCAATGCGTCCATGAGCTCTCAGTTGTTATTAAAGACTTCTATGAATATCCGCACTTTGTCAATGTGATTTGAAGTTTTTCTTAAGAAATAGAAAATACAATGTGGCATATTTCGCGATCCACAGTTGTGACACAGTTTTTGTTCAGAATTGCCGATCTTGTAGGATATATTGTAGTCGTTATAAAGATGCTTTGTATGTATCGGCAGTGGCAGCGAGCGGTCGGAGTCGGGCAGCGACTCCGCTCGCAGCCCGGAACGCACACGCAGCGGGCCGCTGCACCCGCTGTCGGCGCTTGCAGCTCTCAAGCGCAAGCGAAAGAAGTTCTCGGACTCGCGGCGCGCGCCGGCCGAGGAACGCGCCTGCGCTTCGGAAGCGCTGCAGCGCGCCAGCTCCGTGCCGGCGCGCGTGCCGCCCGCGCCGCCGCCGCGCGCGCCGCCCGCCCCCGCGCACGCCCCGCTCCCCGCCGCGCCCCCGCCCGCCGGAAGCCGGGAGCCGCTGCTCGCCAGCCTCGACGACGACGCGCACAAGGTTGCAAACACTACAAACATTTCTATATGTACTGCTACACGAGCACTACGGCACTAATATATTGCGCACTAACTAACCGATCGCCTTGCCTCGCTGGAGATCTCCCCTTTTCTTTTTACGGTGAAAGTGGATATATAGCGCGGTAGCATCGGAACTTTGATAGCGCGATTTAGGATTTGGTGTGTGTCGCTTGCGGCGCGACGACAGCGCCGCCACACACTCATTTCCCCGTAACTCACGGCAGTAGTTGAATGGCAGATTCGAACCCACAACTTTTTTATTTGCTGTTCATACCCTAATTATTTAACCGTGTAGTAGTGATGTAAGAATATCCACCATCCCATATCATTACGTGGGTGTCGTAAGGTTTTATACGTGGTAGAGTCATGCTGCAGCTATGTTATGGTTCTAGCACGAATGGGTCAGCTCGGGCCAGAGAAGGACCACACTCTCACAGAATACATAAAATAGCAGCTCATTGCTGCTGTGTTTTATATGGTGAGTGTAGAAAACCGGAGATGCATTTTACTGCAAAAGAGGCATTCCATCTTAGTGCTCAGGGGTGACAATGCATTTTTATTTTGATTCTTAATCGAGGATAGATGTAGATGTCTATGAACCACAATATCCACTTACCATCAGGCGGATTGTATAGCTGGAATTTCCAGTAAAATGGGTTACCGGTTCTCTACACTCACCATACTAAACACAGCAGCATTATGCTGCTTTTTTCGCTGGTATTCTGTGAGAGCGTAGTCCTACCCTGCTCGAACCGACCCATTTGTCTGTAGCAGCACAGCGCTACCACGTATATGACGTATATTAAGAAATGGATAAGAAGATACATACAAGCATTGCTCAAGACAGTAACATAACGCGACGTGATTTGCAGGAGGCTTGTGGGCAGTGTGGGTACGAAACCAGCGTGGAGGGAGGGACGGAGGAGTGCGAGAGGTCCACAAGCCCAGGGGGAGCGTCGTGTGGACGCTGTGCGGCTCTGGCGCGCCTCGCCGGCGTCACGCCACTGCACGGACACGCGCCGCACCACTCCGCCGGATGGCTCTAGCCCACCCACACACCGAGCTCCAACAACCGCACACCCCCATTGTGCAGCGTTGCCAGAACGATCATTCATGTCTGTACGTAACTCCAGACATGTGTTAGATTCAGGCGTTATTTTGAAGGTCTTCTTTATTAAAGATGTCAAAATTAACTGGCTAAGAGTAGGCTTGCCAACCATTATGCGAGAGGCAGGACATCCCGTTTCTAGATCCTTAGCGAATGCATCCCGAGAAAGAGATGTGTGCGGGACGCCAATTGTTTTATTGCATATGGTTAAATTTTTCGCTGAAATATCTAGAAGTGTACACACTTTTAATTTCAAATATACAAAAATCTTTGATTTTTTGATCAAACGTTAAAAAAAATTCTTAAAGTTGTTTTAAAAAGGATCTAATTCTTCGATACACTATTTCTACTATACTAGTTTTTTCCCGCTTTTCCACTAGAATGTCGGCTAAATAGTTACAATAAAACCTCATCCACAATTTTCCATCACTAGGAGTGCATTTTTCTTCAAATTTATATGGGACCACTTTAAAGGTATAGCCTATAGAATAAAAATTATTCTTCATTTGAATGTGTGTTGTGTGTAGACCTTAGAGTAACGCTGTAGATGTTTCAGAGAAATCGGTCGGTGAACTTACGTTAAAAAACCTACCCATTTAATATAGAACCTCTTGTTTAAAATTGTTTAAAAATATGTTTAAAATATACCTAAAAAGCAAAATCTCATTTCTAATTTAAAAAAATTCGCCATTATATATTTATAGCTTTGTCCCAGCTTTATTGCCCAAATCCCGCATTGTGATTCTCATTTTCCCGTAAATCCGTGCACTAAGTTCGGCAAGCCTAGAACCCAGTGTAAAATACAAATGATATTATGTCTATGAATATAATAATTAATATGATAATTTTTTTAAATATGCAAGCCGGTCTTAGCGAATTAATATTCTCATCCTTATTGATATAAATTATACTTATGATTGTTTATTATTTATGGTTGTTTATTTAGATTTTTGTGGTAATTATGACACTCCAGTCTGGCAACGCTGTTACAATACGAGACTCACTGGAAAACCCCAGTGTTTCTATGTCGTCGCCCTTATTGCTGGACTGTAAGTAACCAAAGTTACGCGCAGTGAACAAGATGATGCATTCGCATGTGATGTTTGAATGTAAAGTAAAATAGGAAACTTACATCGATAGTTAGTTATTTAAGAAATTCACCGCGTCACGTCATTCACACACTGATATGAAACATATCGCCTTTAGCGCGATTTAAACAAAGATTTCTATGTATACGACTAATCGAGCAATACAGTACTGATACATTGCGCTGAATTCTCCGTAACTTCTTCAGTCGACTGCGAGCGGGCGAGAAGACTTGTTCTTCGTTTTGTAAACCGCGAACGTTGTTTTCGACAACATTACTCGTAGCGGCACGAAAGTCTAGCGCTTACCGTTATTGCGCATAAGTCGCGCTGATTGGCTCGTGCGTCTCGTTCGCACGCGCTGTTTGGCTTCCAGTCACATTCGTACAATTCAATCCGTGCACGTCAACTCCACGTTTCGTTTAGCGCTAGACTTACGTGCCGCGACTTGTACACTCATTTTGTTCAAAGTGACTAAGATCACACTGTCTTCATTTATGTGCGCACTTTGTCAACGTGATTTGAAGTTTATTTCAGATAAGTATGTAACTTTATTTCGTATTTGCCTAAAAACAGTAACTGTCGTAATTGAAAATAGAACTGCGTGGAATTTTTACCACGCCAGCCGATCCACAGCTCTGACACAGTTTTTGTTCTGAATTGACGATCTAGCAGTATACATAGAAATCTTTGGATTAAAACAAATTATGCATTTATACAATAATTGTACTGTAGTGACTTGCACGTATCGCTAGGAGCTAAGATATGAGAAGTACACGTGTGCGTAGCTAGGTAGAAATTAGACCATCCGTTCCGTTAATCTTACTTTAAACGAGTCATATTTTATCTAACACCAACTAGTTATTAGATGAAAACGAGATTTAAAAAATATATAGCATAAAATTAGTGTCTAAACTATTTTATATACGACTTATAATATGTATACTGAAACATAATAAATGTTATAATTAATTATACAATATAATGATGTGTTCCAGAGAGTTTTCCAGTAATAATTTATCCTGTCGGCGCATTCATACGTAGAATTATTTAGTGACTAAGAACAAACAGAAGAAACAGGGATTTTTATGTAACCCCTATTATCCTATTTATTATACTACCCAGTCCCCATTATATAATATATACGCATTTATACAGTCTATATGCCAAGGACACAAAATTGAAATAGTATCTAGATATAAATTATACAGAATAACAAATCCCCAGATCGTCCCGTGGATGTAGTAAGAGGCAACGGCGGGAAACAAATCAGGAGATAGGCAACAGTGTCTTTAGAACGACAACTAAAAATTAAAAAAAAACTGCGTTTGCCAACCCGCCTGCCTAGCGTAGCTACGGCAAATATCCACCCTATGAATCAATGGCCTAAATCCAGCAGTGGACTTTTGATAGGCTGGGATAGGTAGATTGAATAATTTATTACAGAGTTATATTGTAATGTCTATAAGTCTTCTAGGCTCTAGACATAGACCTTCATATTTCATACTACCAGTAACTTGCTATCAACGCTAATACAAATATACATAATAAAATAAATGAGTAGCTGTAGATAAACCTAATAGGTGTACTGTACTGGATCGAGTCACATTTAGCAGTTTGTATTTTGTGCGACAGATGTGTTTTATATAAAAATACACAATCGGCCTTTTTTCAAAAAGCAGTTTATAATTAGTCCCAGGTTTGAACTAGAGACTGTTTCAAAAAAGTAGTCCCGCAGAAAAAGTTTGTGACCCAAAATGGAAAGGTTAGAAGATGACAGCAAATATTAAATTTCGCGAGGACTGTCACCCCGTGGCTAAAGGACTTCTCTAATGATAAAGACTTTCCTTGAACCACAGTTTAAATCCGGGACTATCAATAAACCACATCTTGTAATGAGGCGGTATGTATTCATAGCTAATCATTTGACTTCAGAACTGTACCTGAGTTTACCTAACTAAGAGGGTAGTGAGCTACACATCATTTGACTTCAGAACTGTACCTAAGTTGACCTAAATGGGTAGTGAGCTACAATATTTGTGTATACGACCTGTTTTTAAGCTGACATCGTAAAGGAGATACTTTATTTGACTGAAAATCGTTTTCTTTTTATTATCTAACCAAAATGGAGGTGATAATAGTCTGAAATGATTTCAGGCAGATCCCATATGATATGTTTTTTTTAATTAAACGACGAACTAAACACATGCAGCCCATCTAGTTTTTTTATAGACTTGAATAAGATAAACGTTTTTGGTGTTTACATTTATTTTTAAACGTTTCCACGAATTAATAGGTGATGATAAATTTTTATACTATTCATCTCTCAGATTATGTCTTGTTTTTTTTTTAGTAAATCAGAGATATACTTACGATTAAAATAAGAGTGGGACCGGTCTTTGATAATCTTCAGTCAATTAAATATGGTTGGCAAATTAATTTTGTTGTAAAAACTATACCGCATCCACAAAAATGTATTGATTTTTAATAGTAATTTACTTCACATAACTTTAATCGATAAATAAATATTGTTTTATTTAATTACGTGAAATGAACACTACATTCCGTATAAAGTGTCATTTGTTAAAACGTTGCTTCAAAATATAGATCTATGCACGTAAGTATACGTAAGTACTTACTCTGTGCACGTAAGTACAATGTACTTACGTGCACAGAGTAAGTATACTTTGTTTGTATTTTCGTTTTTGCTCACCATGACCAAACCCAATCGTATAGTTAGTTTGCAAGCAATGACGTCAGAAAATCACGTAGACTAGTTCCATTGTTATTTTAATTGTGTAGCATAATAACAAACTATTTATAATTATTAAGCAATTATTTCTTGGCCTAATAAAATATATATCGGAAACAAGGTTTAACAACGAATATAAAATATAATTTTGTGATTTTTTTATGGCAGCCCACTACCTACTTAAAACCTTTGCACTTTGTTAAATTTCTAGTGATGTGTTCTATCAAATTATATGCAGGTAAAGATTGGTGCGACTACCAAGCGCGCGCACCGTACCTATATCGTCCGTTCTGTACGCGTGTATGTATGTATGAGTATTGTTTATGTAAGTACCATTCAGTACTGGGTAATGTTATCTTTATCCCTTGAGCGAACACCGCTGGAGGTCGCTCTTGTTTAGACATTAAATATAAAAAAAACTTTATATAGAAACATTACGTTTGTATCAGCTTTAGGATAATTGCTACACTGGAAGTAAAGATAAGAAGACCTAATAAATAATTGAAATTATTAACTACTAGACCCAAACCGTGATGGGCAAACAAAATCAAACCAATGTTAATGATACGCGACTTCTATGTGTGCAACCAGGTAACCAAAGACTTCTATGTATCCAAAATCTTCTATATCTAAATGAGCTCTGCGCCCTTAATACAAAGCGCACTAAGTTATGGTAAATTATCCGTTACTCCTTTAGTCGATTGCAAGCGAGAGAGAAGATTAGTAATTTGTTATGTAAGCCACGAACGTTGTTTTATACAATAATGTAACACTGATATTTTTTCATGTGACTACTAAAACCCTGCCATTATTTACATACGTGCGCACTTTGTCAACATTATTTAAACTTTATTTAAGACAAGTATGTAACTTTATTTCGTACTAGCTGTGTTCCTCGCGACTTCGCCCGCGTGTTATTTGGGGTTTTAATTTTTTTGCGCGGAACCCTAATTCTTTTTTTTTAAATAAAAGTAGCCTAAGTTACTCCTTATGACAACAGCTATCTGCCAGTGAAAGTCCCGTCAAAATCTGTTCAGCCGTTTCAGTGTTTAGCCGGAACAAACAGACAGACAAAAATTTAAAAAATCGTGTTTTTGTTAT